TTTTAAAAAAAAAATCTTTATAAAACGAGTTTATCTCTTTATATCGCATTATTTGCTCGATTTACCATGTGATACATGTTCTTCTTACACATCAATATTGTACTATATAATGCAGCATAAATTGGGCACATGGAATTTCATGAGCAAGAACAATGACACTTGCTATGAGGGCCACATGTTTCCGTTGCTCGTTAAAGAGATGCTCGATTTCTGGCCAGAGAAAGACATTCGTCAACGGATATGGGTAATAAACAATATCATGTCTTTTATTTTTCTTGATATTTTTTTTTTATCATTGAAAAATAGTTGAATTAATTTTCGGGCAGGTAAGCGTAAGAGAGGCTCGACAAGTTTGTCAGTATTGGTGGATGAAGGAAGCGTTAGAGCTATTTGTCGATCGTCTTATGACACGATCTAACTTGTAGTAGGAAGTTATTATAAGTTATGTTTACATGAGGCTTGATGAAAAAAAAAAAAAAAAAGCCATGAAAGAATTTGAGAACGAGATTTTGTTCGAGAAAATCCGTCTCTTAGTTTCGAATTTACGCATTTTATCTCCAAGTGTTGTATAGGTTAAGCTCTAGTCGGAAAATCTAGCTAACTAGTATCTTTAAGCTGGATATTTATGCTTTTGTAAGAGCTACTGTTTGGTCTCATAAAACTGAAGCAATGAGACCTTATAATTAAATTAACCCCTTTTTATGTTTTTTTTTAGTTTTTAATATACTACTTTTATTTTCGTGCCCCTCTTGAGACGCGAATGATAATGTATTCGATGGTATATTAGCATTTGAAGGAATTTTAACAAATTTTACTTAGAAATATTTTTCTCGTTCAAAAGATCTTATCTTTCGAAGGATAAAATTGAACAATATTAATCTTTCAATTGATAAGATCATTTGGATGATGAACAATTTTTTCTTTCAATCGAAATTGATAAGATCTTGGATAATGATGAAGAAGATCCCTGGTGAAGAAGTTTAACAACCTTCTGAAAAAGGTTGTTTGGTAAATTTTATTTATAACGACTAGTGTTGTTATATTATACGAGTCTGGCTCGGCTCCGCTCGTTTGATAAAAGATTAAACGGTGGCGAAAAGAAATTTTTTTATATAATTTTCTATAGTTTAGCTCGTTAAAGCTCGAGATTGGATCGAACTCGACTCGTTAGGAGTGTTAAATGAGCCGAGCTCGAGCTCGAGCTCGTTTATTTAATGAACTCGGCTCGACTAAACGACCTTTTTTAAACAAATATTCTCTCTCTTTGATGGGCCCGTACCCGATTTGGTTGTGTGGGCTCTATTGTTACTATGGCCCAAATTCAATCATAATGAACGCTCAATTTAGCGTTTTATATCAAATCGCAGGCTTCTGTAAAGCGCATTAATCTGAGCTAGTTGTTAACTAATGGGCTGAGTCTATCAAGTCTGGCACAATGTTAGTAACTTGAGAATCGGCCCAGCTAGAACGTCGGCCCAATCCAGCTAAGAGGAGCACAACTTATCAAGAAGCAGACAAAATTTCAAAATTGTTCCTATAATTGGTCACTGTCCAAAAAACCACCTCGATATTGACCACTTTCAATTTAGGTCCTATAATTTATCGATTTCATCAATTTTGATCCTTTTTATCCGCACACTGGAATAAAAAGTGACGTGGCATGCGTGTCAGTTTTTTAATGTTACATGGCATGATTATGATCTACGTGGCACGTCAATTTTGGTCTTATAATTTATCGATTTCATCAATTTTGGTCCTCTTTTCATGACACGTCACTTTTTAATCTAGAGTGCGGACAAAAATTGATGAAATCGACAAATTATAGGACCTAAATTGAAAGTGGTCAATATCATTGTGGTTTTTTGGACAGTGACCAAATTATAAGACCAATTTAATTTTTTTGCCTCAAGAAGCTAGTAGAAACTAAATTAAACTGATCGCCCTATAGGAAACAATGGAAAAATTCCATCTGTAGATATAAAATGAGATAGGTAAATAAAATATAAATTTTGTGCCCAGCAAATTTATGGCAGCTAACAAAAAATTAGGTCATCTTCTTATAAATTTGGTAGAAAATTAAACACTAGTTTATTAAATCATGTAATTTTGTGCTTAATCCCCATGAGTTAGTCATATTTTGCGCACATCAACGTGGATAGGTATCGTGTCTTTGTAACTGTCGAAAAATTGCCTTGCTCGATAACTATTGGACAGTGTCAAAATAGGATACTATCTTTTTTATACTCGAAGCTACTCGAAGCTCGACTCGTTTGTTCAATTGAACTGCTCGAACTCGAGTTTGATGAAGCTCGAGCAGCTCGTCTCGTTAACAGCCCAAATTGTTGCTAGCCAAATTAAAATAAATTGGGCCTTGTTAACAACATTAAGGAAAGGTATGAGGAGGGATAAACGCTTTTTCTACTTTACAGAAAGTGGTGGGTTTTTATTGCTTTGCATGGAATGGCAGCCAAAAAGGTACGTGTATGTTGGGTGACGTGGCTGCTGGCTAGTGCGATGGTACAGTTGTTGAAATTTGTCCATACATAACAAAGTTTGTTACAGAACAACTCTAAAGTCCTTTTTTTTTATATTTTTTTTTTTTAATTAGACATGCTTATAGGTTTGATTATAGTAACTATTCCAAAATATGATGCAAACATGATTTTTTGTATTTTTTTAATTTAATATAATGGTAAAATATAGTTGTAGTATATTACACGTTATATTAACTAATTTACCAATGTCTCTACTTTTAATCCTACAATGCACAATGTAATCACAAATGTAGTGATGAGGTGAACATAACTACTGTCCACGACGTAGCGAAGAATGTGGTTCATCAACATTCTTTTTCACATTCTAATCAACCAATTGAGAGATGAATGAAAAATATTATTACCATTTTCAAAATATCTAATTATTTAATTTTTTTTGTTTCTTATTTATTATTTTTTTTTTATTTTTGACAAGTGGACAATATTATGTTTGATCACATTGTGCATTGTAGATAATTTTTTAAATTTAAAGTTGTGGACTTAACAAATATCTTATATGTTCACAATCCATCTAAATATTGATATTTGTCAAAATTTATGTGATAACAACATTTATGCATTAAAGATACTCTAATGGGAGACTACTGATAGGTCCGTCTATTGCGAAGAAAAAACTTAAAGATTTGAATACTTTTAAAGTAAAATCTCAAAGACTTTAAAAAACAACATAAACAAAAAGTATGTTTTATATTATAAATATGTAATTTTATTTTAAAAAAAACCACGAGTGGACCCACACACAATCACACAAGAATTTGTACTGTATTAAGAAATACACATATTTCGCAATCACTAGTTATTTTGTGATATATATACTAAATGTACCTTGTTAGAGTGTACCGAGAGATACTATATTACTTATAAATTATATCATTTTTATGAAAGTATGCATATTTGTTATTTTAAATCAATTACCTAATAACACTCTCATCATTCAGTACATTTAGTGAAACATCCTACAATTATACAAATCTTTCCGAGTAAAGCATTCTTAATTTGTTAGATCAATTCAAAATATTTTAGAATCATTGTAGAGAAATCGCTCTCATACAAATTAAAAGTAACACTGAAAAATTTTGCAACGCCGAATTTTGCAACACTGAATTTTGCAAATTAAAGAAGAACGTGACTTACAATTAAGGAAGTGGAAAACTTTGCAACACTGAATTTTATAGACTAAAGAAGAATTTACTTACATCTAAAGAAAATTCTCATTGCTACTTTTCATTTACATTATACTTACCAGTTAAAGGTTGATTTTCTTGTTTCATCTAATTTATTTATTTGTTTATTTATTTATATTTCTATATTTATTATAAACATTAAAAGTTGTGTATTTAAATTAGTAAAAAATAACTAAAGTACAGCGGAATGAATTAACAAAATTTATAGCATCTAATTTGATCAAAGTTGTATTTCACAATGTATATAAAATATTCTAGTATATTATCATAGAACTTTTTAATTTAATTTAGATGTTTTTAGACATATTTTGAAGTTGTATTTCACAATGTATATAAAATATTTTAGTATATTATCATAGAACTTTTTAGTTTACTTTAGATGTTTTTTGACATATTTTTCATGAATATTTCAGAGACTTTTTGGTGATTCCACATATTAATATTCCAAAATAATAAAACATTTTAGATATTTTTACATGTGTTATATAATAGTTTAGTTTTTTAATATTTTAGATAGACATATTTTTTTTTTTTTTTACTCAAGTTGCTCTTCGTATAAATTAGTAAAATTATATTACTTGTTAACTCATATCTTTATTTACAAATACTGTCTAGTATTAGTTCTACCTCTTCAGTTTATAAATAATTGAAAATCATTTACTCGTACCAACAACAAAGATCGCATGAATGCAAGCTTTGTCCTTGACTATGGTATCCACGTAATCCAGTTTTTCGGTGCACGATCCAACGTCAATGAATCATTTACGGTGAATAAGCTAGAAATTCTCAATCAACTTTCTGGTGAAGAAGCTAGGAATCCTCAATCAGAAACCTTTACGGTGAAGAAGTAGGATCTTCAATCAACTTTCCAGTGAAAAAGTTAAGAATCCTCAATCAAAAAGTTGAAGAGTGTTATCTTTCAATCATGATCTCTCAATCTCTAATTTGTGATCTCTCAAAGTGTTTCTCTCATTCATCGACCCATCGATAGAAGACTATGAAAAGATAATGAGGTATTTATAATTATGTCAAACTTTTAGACCCTGGTAAGTGAACTTAATCCATTTAATAATTTAATTAAGTTAAAATTAATTTGTACTATTTATTTATTAATGGTAGTATAATTAATTGTTAGGATAAAAAAAAAAATCGATAAGATTAGAGAAATTTATATTATTTTGTGTCACCTAAATTTTATGGATTATCTACACTAATCTACATGTAGTTAAATGCAATTTCCTTCCATCTAATGCTAATAAGAACAGTAAAAATCCCATGTCCTCTGGATCTAGTTGATACTACAGTAAAAATATTAAAATAAAAAAAAATAAAAAAAAAACGAATTATTCTAAGTTTATTTTAGACATAAGAAGAAATCCAATCCCTTTACATTTAAATTGTTTTGACTATATTTATTTGGTTTCATCAGTTTCATCCAAATTTCAGGTCCATTTATACAACATGTAAACAAAAAAATTGGTCCCTGGATTTGAAATTGAAACTTGCACATGTAACTCTTATTATAAGTTCAAACTTTAATATTACAGTGCACTTTTATACTCACTTTTTTGCACAATCATTTTTACTTCCCACCTAAGGTGAAACTCTAACCCATCACAATACTTCAAGGTGACACACAATATAATTCCCTAAAAACCTTCACACATAAATCTCTCCAAAGTACAGAAATTGTGAATAAGATGGCAAGAAAACACACAGCTCAACTTTTCCTAACGACAATATTCTCAGCCTTATTAATATTCCGCTTCCAATTTCCCTCCGCCGCCGCCTCCTCGGAGGACGCCTTCCTCTACGGCGGGTGCTCGCAGGTTAAGTACGCACCCGACTCTCCCTACCAATCGAACCTCAACTCCCTCCTAACCTCCCTCGTCAACTCGGCCACCTACTCATCCTACAACAAGTACACCGTCATGGGCTCGGGCCCACAAGACGTCGTGTACGGGATTTACCAGTGCCGGGCCGACCTGTCCATGCCGGACTGTGCCACCTGCGTCGCCCGGGCCGTGACCAAGCTCGGCCCGCTCTGCTCGGGGGCCTGCGGTGGGGCAGTCCAGCTGGACGGCTGCTTCGTGAAGTACGACAACGTCTCGTTCGTGGGCCAGGAGGATAAGACGGTGGTGTTGAAGAAGTGTGGGCCGTCGGATGGGATTGGGCCGGATGGGACCGGCCAGAGGGACGCGGTGCTGGCGGGCCTGAGCGGCGGGGGAGGCCCGTTTAGGGTTGGAGGGACCGGGGGCGTGCAAGGGGTGGCACAGTGTGTCGGGGACTTGAGTGCGGGGCAGTGCCAAGACTGCGTGTCGGAGGCCGTGCGGCGGCTCAAGGCGGAGTGTGGAGGGGGCGTGTACGGGGACGTGTTTCTGGGTAAGTGCTACGCGAGGTACTCAATCAGTGGGGCCCACATCTACGCAGCGCCGAACCACGGTGAGTTTTTTTTATTATTATTATCGCATTTTTCATGTAAACGGACAAAATACCCAAAGTTTCTATACTAAGTGGTTTGATCGTTAGGCGAGTCCGCTGATCATAATTTTATTTGAAAAGAAAATGCATATTTATGGTGTAAAGCCGTAATATTATTTATGTTATTCTTTTAAGTTATTTTAATTTCACCAGCAACTAGAGCTGCAAATGAGTGGAGCTGCTCCAGTTAATGCTCGACTCGAGCTCGGTCGTCAAACTCAAGCTCGAATCGAGTTTGAGCAGTTCAATCTACCAAACGAGTCGAGCTTCGTGTATAAAAAAAGATGTTAGTCCTACTGAAAATCTTGTTCTTGGACTTACTTGCAGGGTCCGGTGATCATAGCGAGTCGGAGAAAACATTCGCGATCATAATCGGATTATTAGCCGGAGTCGCACTCGTAATTATTTTCCTCACTTTTGTGGGGAGGTTGTTTGGGAGAAATGGTGAGCCTTCTCACCTTTTATTACTACAAGTGTTGCCCATTTTTTCTCATCCAAAAATTAGTGCAAATAAAAAATGGCTTTTATCTAAATCTCTTTGATTTTGTGCAGGAAAATAACGGGAAAATGAATCGTTGAGTGGTGATAAAAAAATGCTTAATTTCTGAGTTAATCTGATAGTCCATTTGTTTGTTGTTTTATTCATTGCTTTTTCTTCATTCAGATTTCAATTTTTCTGCTTTCTGCATTTGTTTATCTTTTGGGAATGTATAAGTCCTCCTCCACTTGTAATTGTGATTCATTGTAAAGAATATTCGAATTATTTTGGGTCTTACTCTTTTTGTAAAGGTGTTCTTTTGCAGCATTATCTTAATTCTGTTCAAGAACAGAGGATAGACCCTCTTTATGACTTTTTTAGACTTTGTATACATTTTAGAGTATGCTTCATAATGGCTAAAGTTTCCTTTATAAGTTTATTTAATTAGTTTATAAAATTTTAATATTTAAAAAAAAAACATTTGGAATGATAAGTTTTTTAATGGAGTTCGAAGCAATACATAAGAATATTTCTCGTCAGCATCACCTTCATCATTCTCCGGCAGAATTTCCATCGAACCCACTATCAACACCTAGTCGACTTGTTTGGCTAGGTTGATTTGATTCTATCCTTCTAGTGTTAGATGCTACATAGTTGTCATTGTTCGCACATGAGATATTGATGGTTGACTGTGTATCACGCATGTTTCTATCTCTACGAATAATGTCATGAACTCTATTTATAAAATCTTCATATGGTAAGGTAAGACACTAAAAAAATATATCTCTTTGTCTTGCCATTTTGTACAAATTCTCATTCCAAAAGTCGTTGTGAACAATTCACATTTTATCAACAATTCAACATCCATATGAAATTATATAAAAATAATCTTATTAATTACTAATAGTTTCTTGAAAATAAATTTCTAACTCCCATAAATTATTTCCAGGAAATATTATATGAATCCCAGAAACGGTTTCTGGAACACAATATATCTGAATTTCAGAAACGGTTTCATAAACAAAAATATACGAGATTCTCAAACAGTTTCCAGAACTCATTTTTCTTTTCCGAGAAATAGGTTGTGGAACAAAAATATACATGTTCCAAAAACGGGATTTAGAACTCATTTGTTACCGATAGATGGTTTCTGAAACAAAAATATATGAGTTCGAGAAACAATTTTAAGATTTTTTTTTTTTGTCCAAAAATAGCCTGGAACAAAAATATATCAATTCCAAAAACAAGAACCCATTTAATTTACAAGAGTTCTGTTTCGAAAATGTAACTCAATAATCAATATATCCATTGTATCTCGACTCACATTATAAAAACATTTTTATTTGAGTGAAAAATTATATCACCTCTCGAAAGTTCGACAGAGGCCATCAAATTACCGAAGCGCCCCTGTCTGTCATCATCTTCTACCAATTTCAATTAAATGTTGATAAGGCTCCTCGAAGCTTCCAGACGATCTAGACGGTACACTTATTATAGGGTGCCCCCTCCTACATACAATTACAAATACATATAATTTATGTACCCCAAACTACCCCTCCCAATAAAATCGATCCATGGCCCTGTTTGGTGACCCCTGGAGGCGCTTCCTCCTGAGCCCCGCCGTCCACCGCTCGTCGACGGCCCTTCTCGACTGGCTCGAATCGCCAGCTGCCCACATCTTCAAAATCAACGTCCCGGGATATAGCAAGGAGGACATAAAAGTGCAGGTGGAAGATGGGAATGTACTGGTTATCAGAGCTGAAGGCGGCGGGAAAGAGGAACTTCCGATGAAGGAGAAAGATGTCATTTGGCATGTGGCGGAGAGGAAGATCCTTGGCGGTTTCTCGAGGGAGATTGAGCTGCCAGAGGACGTGAAGGTGGAGCAGATCAAGGCTCACGTGGACAACGGCGTGCTTACCGTGGTTGTACCCAAGGATACAACTACTCCCAAGCCGTCCAAAGTGAGGAACATTCATGTCACTAGCAAACTATGAATGTGTTCATGTGAATAAAATTCATGTTGTCTTTAGTAATGTTCTGATTACAACTGTTTTTACGCATGTAAATGAGGAAAAAAAAAAACATTGTAATGGTAATAATACCAATGTGGTCTGAGTGCTGTCGATAAAATTACATTATTGAACAGTACATTAATAAGAAGAGGTGTGAATAAAAGCTATCTTGTGTTCTGAAAGACAGTAGAGATAGTTTATTGCAGTATTCACTATTCACACAAAATTTAAGATAGGGCTTTTTTTTTTTTGGGTACAAAAAGAGCAAAGCCTAAGAAGAAATTTCTACTACTATACTCACTCCTGTGGGTGGCAAACATCAAGAATATCGTAACGGAGGCGGTTTAACTCCTCTCGGAGGGGCACTTAGCACATGAAATCTTTTTAGACTGAGTGTAGCCAGCGTCGCAAGAGTCTGCTGTAAAATTTAATTCGCGACAAGAATGTAAAAGGCGTATGTCCTAGTCCCTGGCTATAAGTTTCTGGATGCCTCGTATTAAACTGTCATCTACTCCTACACTGTCGTGGTGCCTCTCAATCATTTGCACTATACTGTGGCTATAGACTGACGTAATTACTTTTAGGAAACCTTTATCCCAAGCGAGGGACAAGGCTTGGAATAACTGCATAGTTCGGCGCCTTCATCGTCGAGAAACCAATATTCATGACGAAACTCTCAATTCATTGGCCAAAGCAATCACGTAGCAAACCCAAAGCATACACCAATCCTGTCGTCCGCTTAAAGGAGTCGTCAGAATTTACCTTCACCCAACCCTTAGGCGGCAGAATCCAACGAACCATTTGAAGCTCACGACGGACACCTCCAGATACACACAGGCTCGCATGAGCTTTAGCCGCGATAAGGTTCCGCAAATGCATTTGGGCTTCGGGAAACCGTCAATTTACGTCAAAATCTTCATTGTTAAAAATACATGCATTTCGCGCATCCCAAATTCTCCACGCCACTATGCCAAATAAGCATGTTCTCGATACCATACATCGAAGGAGTCGAGAGATGCACAACAAACCAGTCTTGGAGATCCATGCAAAGGCAGCTCGTGTTGCCAATCCCCAAAATAAAAAGTCGTCATAGATGTGTCGCCCCACTATAATATCGCAACAAATGAAGAATGGTCGCCCCAGTACAATATCGCAACAAATGAAGAATTATCTCCTCACTGCCACCTCAAAGCTTACACTAGGGCGAGGCTGCGGCATTTCGTCGAAAGGGTTCATAATTTGTCAATAAGTGACCCTTTGCCGCCAGCCAGAGGAAGACGAATTCGTTGAGGACTTGAGGGCCCTCCCATTGCCAGACCAAGTCCAAATCTGGAACGTCCCAATCTCTGTTGGGCCAGCTAAAAAGCGATACGCTGAAGAGGTGGTGAAACTGACGTCATCGTAGTAACCCCACTATATGAGGTCCGCATGTCTGTGGACGTAGTTGCTCTGCAATCTGCAGTAGGTACGTCGTCGATAACAAGTGGGAGAGGATCTCCCATTGCCATTTCCCCGTCTCCGCCTAGTAGTCGACCACCATCCAGTCATGCTTTTTCTTGGGAATGATACCGGTGCAAACCTGGCCAACCATCACATCTGAGTGCAAGCATTTGTCGTGCTAATAACGGGCGGTAGTCTCATCTCCAAATCCGACCCAAAGATCGTAAAGTGGACGATCCCTTAAGTAGCTCCTCGGTCAACTAAAGATGCATATGCGATAACTTATATTTCTCCATTAAAACCCGCACCCACAACGAGTCCGGGCGGGTTAGAGTACCTCAGCCCAGCTTCATCAGCAGCGCTGCGGCGCAGACACTTAAGACCCAAAACCCCCTTATTTTACGATCGACAAATCTCGTCCCATGGTACCAGCAAGGGCTTTTTATTCATACCCGTGCAACTCCAATTCCTTGGTCGGACCGACGGATCTCCAGGTACAAAATGGCCAAATCTCAGGCCAGGGTTGGGTCGGGCTGGGTCCAACCCGTCCTAAAAAAAAAACTGGAAAAAAATCGAATGTTGATTTGCGACCCGATCCGGCCCTGGCCTAGCCTGTTGGGCGAAATGTTACAAATACCTAACCTAAATCAGCCTTGTTTGAATTCGGCACATGCTCAGACCCGTTGACCACGGTTCTGACCGGACTTGGTTCGTGCCGGTTTCGGACTGGGTCCGGATTGGTTCGACGGCTGGGTGACCCGTGGCCATGTCTAAGTTACTATCATAGTTAATTATCATAGTTAATTATCATTTATCACATTGAGACATGCATATTTTATGGTACTCCTAAGAAAAAATACCCACGCCCCAAGGGGTAACACAAATTCATCACTTAGCAGGCCGTAAACGAGCCCAATAAGCCCACCAAAGATACTTGCCTTAACCCATACCACTTCCTCGGTCAAAAACTCTCGAAACAACTGCTCTTCTTCCTCGTTAATCGACACCTCTGCAATTTTCCCCCAAAATAATTCCTCTTTACTCTCTCAAGATCACATTCAAAATCCAAAAAAAGAATTAAAAAATGGCTTTGGAGTGGGTGGTCCTCGGCTACGCCGCCGGCGCGGAAGCCATCATGCTCCTCTTTCTGACCTTGCCGGGCCTCGACCCTATCCGGAAAGGCCTCATAACCGTGACCCGGAGCCTCCTCAAACCCTTCCTCTCCGTGGTCCCCTTCTGCCTCTTCCTTCTCATGGACATCTACTGGAAGTACGAGACCCGACCCAGCTGCGAATCCGACTCCTGCTCCCCCTCCGAGCACCTCCGCCACCAGAAGTCCATCATGAAGTCGCAGCGCAACGCGCTCCTCATCGCCTCCGCCCTCGTCTTCTACTGGCTCCTCTACTCCGTCACCGGCCTCGTCGTCAGGATCGAGCAGCTCAACAAGCGGATCGAGAAGCTCAAGGAGCAGTAATTTGATCTGGGAGGAACCCCGGCCTCTTGCTTTTTTGGTATTTTCGTGTTGCTCTTTGTGGCTTTTGGGGTCGTTTTGATGATGAATTTGAGTTTTATGTTTCAATAACTGTTGGTTATTGTATGTTTTTTTCTCTGACTTTTGGAGTTGTTTTGATGATGATTTGTGGGTTTATTATGTTTTAATGTCTGTAGAAGAGTCTGAGTTAGTATGATATTTATAATGATTTTTTTTGCCTTTGGTCGGTTTGATGCAATAATAATAGGATCTCTTGATATGATGAAATGAAGTATTTTGGGGTCAAAAAATTGATGCATTTATGTTTATCTCCTTTTTTCATTTCTAAGGACTTACTTTGAGCTGATAAACAAACTTTTCTCCAGTTAAATTTATGTTTGCATTTCACCATCTGAGTGAAATATTCATTCTTTGCGGTTTGGCTATGGAGCCATCGTATGGCTCGGCTTATGGAGCCATCCATAGTTTTCCACAAATGGTGTATTGACACGTGTCCTGCAACTAAACATCTTTGAGTTGGTATGATGCTAGTTTGTATCAACATTATATTGGTAACTAAACATCTTTTTTACACTGTCTCACTATGCCTTGGCTTTCTTGGTTTTCAACTACTGCTGGCATTTTTGCTGGAATCATAATCCCACTTTGTGCATGGTTTGTAAGATGGTTGCACACTTTGATTGCATTAAGACTCAAAAATTCGTTGCCGCTAATAAACCATTCCAATTGATATATAAACTTACGTAGGAAATGTGGTATTAATTACCTGAATAAGTCAATTCTATATGTGTATTATCGTGATGTATTGGTTACATTTGCGAATGTGTGCTTTTCTTTTGTCAGTCGTACACTGTGAAAAAGGGAAAATGAGATTTGTAACGATTAAAACGGAGTTTGAAACAATATGATTGCGGATGAAGTGAAAGTTATTTTGATTTAGTTGGTTCATTGGTACTTATGAGGGGAAATAAACAAATGAGAATTGAGAAAACACGGATGATGAAAGGTTACGAGCTGCTGATGTATGAGATACAGTAAAGTAGAACATGTTTCTTTGTGGTGCATTATGTAATAAATCTGCTGAAATTGAATTGAATGTGATGAGAACACTATTTTAGCTTTGGAATACGAGTGGCCTTCTTGAGCTGTGGATTTAGAAACAGAGGATGAACTCGAGATAGTCTGAAGTGACTGCATGGTAATGTGTTTGTTTTAAGTTGAGAATAGCCTCAGGTCAGATGGTTAGAGGTAAACTAAATATGTTGCTCCTCAAACCCAGATAGTAATGTTTTTGGGCATAGTTGATCAACCAAAGCATGAAGATTTTTCCATTTATATCTTGGGATTTTGCTTTTGGTGCTTTCGTGTTAAATATCTCACTTTAACTCACCATAATATGAATGGTAAACTCACTTGCTATGATCACATAACTGCCGTAGCATTTTGTACTCGATGCGAATCCATGTTTGTTTCCTTCCTTAGATGTAAGTGCCTTTCAATTTTTCTTTCTTCGTTTCTGCCAAGCGCCCTTTAATTGACTTTTGGGCTCAAAATCATTTTCTCTTCCAGAGCTACAACAGTCGGTGTGTCTGATTTATTTATCTTTTTGACATCATATTCAGTTCTGGATATTTCGATTTCTAAATCAATGAATAACTTTGAGGTCTCAAATTAATATTTGACCTCATTTTATGTTCTCAAATTGATATTTTATCTTTCAGTTACCCCTTGAATTACTGTTAACTCATTTCGTTGTTTCTTGTGAAACCTAATAATGGCGCCATCCGGTGTCTTTTTCAGGTGGGCGATTTACCTTAGATTCTTCTCGTCTAGACAGTTGTATCGACAAAAAGTAATTTAGTCGAAGTTTGTTTGCCCACTTAAAATTACGGAAATAATACACAGTACAACAACTATTTAAACAAATTCAATCCATTTGTTTTTAGAAATAAGAAAACCATTAAAATTATATAAAATGTAATTACTTAAATTAGTCCAAATCACCTTAACTAAACATATGTTTAGATATATTTATTGTAATTTTCAAGTGATTGCCCGTGTACATATGAGATAGGCCAAGTACACGTTGGTGTAGCCTTAATTTTTGCTAAGGACCATCTGTTGAAAGCATTGTTTTAAATAGCTTGCTATGTAGTGTTTTTTTCAAAAAACGCGACGTTGCTTTATATATTTAGCATTTTTTCTTGAAAAGCTTACGCGAATTGTTGAAATAGCATGTTTTTTATGCTATTTTGCGTTATTTCAAGTTATTGTGCGCGACATTGTGCTATATTTTTGTAACGATGTTTAAATAATAAAATATTTCAAAATTTGTATTTTTTGGGATTGTAATCATAATTTCAAATGGCAACAAAAAACTAAACTTTTGATAATGATTTAAAATTAAAAGCTTGAAAATGCAAAATCTTAAGTTGAATAGGGCAATATTTATCGGTTAATATATATTATATTATTTTAATTTTTTATATAACATTTAAGTAAAATATAAAAATTCTTAGAATTAAGTTGTAGTTAAATAAAAATAATAATTACATATGCTTAATATTAAATTATGACTTATCTCATTATATTTCTCATTATATTTCTGTTGTCTATTTTTACATTTTAGTATGTTTGCTTTATTATTTAGATATTTTATATTATGATATTTACATTAAGTATTTGTGAAAAATAATTCTCAGATATTGTTTTTCATTTCATTCAAATGTTATAATGATTTTTAGAATCAATCATCCAATTTTATTATATGCAAATATATTTATAATATTTTTATAAAAAATAATTTTTTATACCCAAATAGCTTACGCAACGCTATTTATGCTACGCGGTATAAAGACCAAAACACGACGTGTTACGCTATACGCGTTTTAAAACACGGGTTAAAAATAGTTCAAACAAAAGTATACTCTTGAATAACATAAGTATACATTTTAAACAAACAAAAAAAAAAAATATTATGGTCAATTTGATTTTTGCTTTGATTGTGGTTCTAAATTTTACATTTCAATTTTGAACTCCAAAATTGATATTATACCTAAATACAAAATCACTTTTCATTCACATAACATGCTCAATAAATACGGTCAATTTGTTTTGTAATAAAAAAATCAAAGCAAGTACTAAAATGTCGTTTGTGATGAACACATATGGGTGTATACATCAATCATTAATTATGTGAATTGTAGTACTAAGTTTTGTGAACACACGGAACTCCACAAGATGCTCCTTCACGTAACATATCATTTCATATAAGTTAGAAGAATGCATTTAGACAACTTGTTTTTATTCTTATATTTTTTTTTTTTTATTAATATATATACTGAACGTGTCTCACATTTTTAGCTGTGCCTATTGGCGAAGAAAAACCCGGCAGTCCCCATCACCAAAAGGTGCACATGGCCCATGGGCACAGGGTCGAACCACGGGTTCGGGCTTGACGCGACGGATCAAGAGTTGTGTGTATTCATTCGAAATTTTTGAAGATCGTTTAATATTTTAAGAATTTCGATCTTGAATTTTTAAATTTTTTTTTAGAAAATCCTAAGGTAATATATTTGAGGTTAATTTTAAAAATATATGAAAAAGTAATGTTTATCACTCGAATTTGTCTGTGGGTCTAAATATTTAGGGATTATGGGATTAAATAAATAAACAAAAATACAATTTTTAAAATTCGCCGAACAACTAAATCCGTTCTTGTTCGAAGTCAGAACGAGCATTTCAATTTATAAAAAAAACATGAACCTGAACCAGCCGGGGTAAAATCCCGAGCCGGTACAAGGCCCGCGATTAACGGGCTTGACCAGGCCGGTTCGAACCGTAGCCATGTCTATCCGAACGGTTTGTCAACTTGTCCGGCCCGTGAAGTTTCCGGACCGACCCGATCCAGCACCCATGTATCCCAAAAGGACAAAAATGATATAAATATAATGCAACCAAATTCAAATTTGTCGATAAGAGTTTGCCATCATGATGATGAACTAACCAGCTCCAGCTGCATACATACGTGGTGCCTCCTTTTCCTTTCTTACTTGTCTATAAGCACGTGTTTTTCACTTTGCAAAAGGCTAGCCATTCAATTTTACCCTAATTCATCCCAACCCCCACAACCAAAAATATCCATTAATTATTATATAACTTAATAAT